AACCAAATCGGGTCGCGAACATAAATTTTGGAAAAATTTTGCCTCAGGTTGTGAACTCCGCATCGGGTGACGACTACGATCGCAGCCATGTTCTCACACCAACACGATCGCGGCCATCTCCCCCCCCCCCCGCCCCCAAGCACGATCGCGGCCATCTTCCCCGCTTGCAGTCACAGACAGACCTGTGGTCACTTGCTGTGAAGCTTATTGAATAAGGGCTCCAAAGAAAGTCCAGAGCAAGCAGGCAGTAAAAGTAACATGCAGAGTGGTAATGAAGGTGACAAGAATGTGCAGATTTTTCGCCTGCAGCTAAGAGACAAAGCAGAGAGGAAACCCCTGAGAGAGAGCTCCCCAAGGTCCTTATGGAGGGGGACTCTCCCTCCAAACCTTAACCTCCCCTCCACCTAGGTTAGTGTTCTCTACTGTACTGTACTTTGTTTTTCCTTGTTACTTTGTTTCAATTTTTTGTGATTTAAAAAAAAGTATTTACAGAACGGATTAACCTTATTTACATCGAACCTTATGGGGAAATTTGACTTGGCTCGCAACCAATTCGGGTTGTGACCAGAGTTGTAGAACGGATTAAGTTTGTGAGCCGAGGTACCACTGTACTCCAAAAGCCTGCAAAACCCGTATGACCATAAAGAGCAACAAGGCAAGGACTGTATATAGCAGTCTTCCCCAAGCTGGCACTCACTGGCTGTTCTTGACTACAGTTCTGAGCATTGCTGACAATTGGCTCTGGTGGCGACAGCTGACAGAAGTCAAGGTCCAAAAGAACTGGAGGGCACCTGGTTGGGGCAAGGCTGGGAAACACGATAGGAAACAAAAGGCCCGAAGAAAACTATGCTGTTCCCAGTTAGTATAGCTAGATGGACAAGAGGACAGGATTCCAGCACCTTCAACAGCAGTACTGAGGAGGGTGCAGTGTACGTATCTCATCACGTCCGCTACACCTGTTGAAATTCTCTCCTGGACACACCAACAGGAGGTGCAGGAGCCTAGTCCTTGTCCGTCTCCTGGACCTGCGTGCTTCTGCACTCCTGGATCAGACTAATATACAGAAATTGGCAGGTTTAGTTCTTCAGCAGATGGAGCCAAACAGGATTACCTGCCAGTTGCTGCAGATCAAACTGCTGCTACAGGGACAGGTAGACAGGCTTACTCAAGCGTGCTGGTACGGATGAGTAGGAAGATCAGGAGAGCAACAGGCGTAGGCAATGGTTTGATACTTGGTTAGGCCATTGGTTCCCTAGCACAGTAGTGACCACAGTGACTACCAGTGGCTGTTCGGAGTTGTCTTTCCCTGCCCTATCGGAGATGCCAGGAATTGAAACTGTGACCTTCTGCATGGAAAAGGAGCACACTGCCACTGAGCTGCGGTTGCCCCTAACAGTTATTCCTATTCAAAGTAATTGCCGTAGCAAGTACAACTTAGACAGCGCAGCATATCCTGGGTTAATTGTTCCCTTTGGCTGTAGGAGAAGTTGTCATTTGGAAGCACTCCAGCACTGTAGCCAATCATCCAAGACATCCTCTGTACATGACAAACATTTAAGCCAGTGGTCTCCACAGTAGCTGCAAGGCCAGGCGGAGGCACCCTCCAAATTATTTCCCCACTTAGTGGGGGGAGGCGTGTCCCCTTGCCAAAAATGGCTGGAGGATCCACCCACTAAAGCGTGTTACTACAAGGGCCTTGATAGTGTGTTCCCCTTGCCATCCCTTCAGCTGATTTTCTGTAGGGGTGCTATAGGAAAATAGGTGCGAAAGTCAATGGAGAGATTGGTCCCTTCACTTTAATAGGGATGGGGGGGCTGCAATAAAACAGCTGCACGGGGTAAAATCTACCCTTACCAAGGTCCTTTGGGACAACAGAGCACTTTTTGGTGGGAGGGGAGTGAACTTCTCACCCCCAGTTGACTTTTGACAGTGGGGCTTCCCCCTGCCCGAAGCAAAGGAATGGAGAAATTGTTCCATCTACTTGCATGGGAATAGGGAGAGAGAGAGGAAAAGGAGAGAGAGAGAAGGACCAGGGGAGAGATGGGAAGGAAGGAGCAGAACAAAGAGGGAAAAGCCGGAATGAGTAACACACAGGCAGGGTGCATATTTACATACACACAAACACGGGGGGGGGGGGAGTCCTCCAAACATTTTTATTGGCCCTCCAACCTTCTACAGCAGCTACTCTGTGGTGATGCACAGGACATTTTTCCAATATGCCCAGACTCAAAAAGATCGAAGACCCCTGACTTAAACTGGCACCCCCAAAGAATGTTGTGAACTACAGTTTTTAGGAATTGTGGTGCTAACCACGTTCCCCAACCTGGTGTCCTCTTGATGGGTTGCACTACAACCTCCATGCTGGAAGGTGTAGTCTAGCCCATCTGGAGGGTGGAAGGTTGGGGAAGGCCACTGTAAAGCAGTCATTTTCTGAATGCCAGTCCTGCTTTTCCCTCCATGATAGGCTAGAGTGAGGCTGCTCAGTGTGTGAGCCAGGGAGTCCTGGGTTCAAATCCTCTCCCAACAAGCCACAGACTCTGCAAGCTTGTGCAGACTTCATTGAATGCAAGGTTTACGGCACAAAGAAAGCCGACTTCTGAGCAAAAATGAATACATGTGCTTGCCACACATCTATCAAGACCTTCACCTGGCTATTGTAAGGATTCCTGAGACAAGGTATACAGAGTGCTCCAAAGAGAAATGCTAAAAAAGCAGGAACTCTGTGGCAAAGGCTTTCCATGGAGGCATCGTTGCCTTGAGTACTGGTGGTCTGGCTTTCAGTCCTAGGCTGAGTATCAACCTGCAGCGCAATGAGGCGATGAAATGCAGAGAGCACTGTACTCTTTCAGACTGCAGGAATATATGTGGTGGAAACCCTCTCGTGTTAAACATGTCAGGAGAGAGCTAAATACACAGAATTAAGGACTAGAGCACCTCTGAGCACATGCTCGGACTATGCATAATACTACCACTAATTATCACTATTATAATTATTAGCTTGCATTTTGATCAGGAGAGAGTGCACAGTCCTTTTGCAGCAAAACCGGCTCTGCACGTTCTTCCAGGCAGAGGGCTCCTGAGCACTGGCAATCCAAAGGCATTCTGCAGTGCTATTTAGCCTTTTCCTTCTTGACCATTTCTTTGGCTGGGAAGGGGTCACAGGAACCGAACAAACGGTGGGAAAACATGGAGCCGAGCCAAAAGGCTCTGACTCTGTGATCACACTGCACACAGACCCTTCTTTGGAGCACAGTCACACAGGCACTCTCCATACTGCCTATTGATCCTTTCACTCTAAACGTGGAGTGAAGTCTTCCACTGCTTCCTACAGATATGTTATAGCGCAAAGGAGCAAGAACAGACACGAGGATACAGAACTCTGCAGGCTGGAGAAGTTCCACTGCACTGAAGCCCCACAGCCATGCCACTGCGGAACGGAAACAGATACCAGAGTTTCTTCCTGGTGACCCCGAGCACAAATGACTCCCAAGACAGGGACAGGACCCCATTTTCATTGGGGAGGGGCTTTCTGCAGGAGAGGGCGACCCAAGATGTTTGTGTCGTCATGTGAAGTGCTCTGTTTTCCATGGAGCTAGAGCAGGGCAGGCATCAAGGGAGGCATGACCCGGAACACGCCGGGGGCCCACGCTCAGGCCAGACGGGAGCCCCGTGGATGTGCTCCTCCTCTTCACCACTGCGACTTTCACCTGCCTTTTGGTGCCGTGCTGGTGAGGAGCAGCAGCAGATCCACTGCCCACTCACTCCCTGGCCCGCTGCCCATCAAGCAAGCAAAGGGTAGCGATGACGCACAAGAGAGAAGTAACAGCAGCTGGGTTAATGGCAGTGAGACGGTACACTCATTAGGAAAGGGGGCCTACTAAGGGCATCTTGTCCAAGGGGCCTCAGACCTGCAGCTGGTGCTGCCTATGGAAGGGGGGCTGGGAACATGTGGCTTGAATGAAAGAAGAGCACAGGAAACCAATGAGAATATGAGGCCCAAGGAAAATTTCTGACAACAGTTTCTGTTTTTGGGGAAAGGAGAGATTCTTGGAGTTGGCGGATACGGAATGAATGCGTAGGAGGGTGCAGCCTCCAAAGAAATAGGCAGGGCCTGGAGAGGGATGGATTTTCCATATGGATCATAATTTATTCAAGCTGAGACCTGCTGGACCAATTATTTGTAATTTTCCAGAAAAACTGAGCCACGCAACTTTCTCAGCATGCCCTCACATCATCACTCACACACACCTGTGTTATCAAATCTCTCATGAACATCACAAGGACCCAGCAGAAATTCTGTGCATAATTGCTAGAGAAGAGTCCCTTGCATGTCCCAGAAGACCCTTACTTTGGAAGTTCTCTTCTCAGCCAGCCCTGCCATTCCCCTCACTTGCGCTAGCAGTGTAGGAGCGGGTGTGTTTTACATTATGGTATGGGGAAACATTGTTTGTATATGATCAGAGGCACTCTTCCCTCTTACTCCACATATGCCAGGGCTCAAGCTGAGAATCAAATGGGTTCTGGAGCAGAGGAAATGTCCTCCCCACACCAGGATGCTGTGACTCAAGCAAAGCCTGTGCATGCAAACCCTGCCTAAAACCCCAAGCTCCCTTAACCTCTCCAGAAACCCATCTCCCAAATGCCGCACCCCAAGAAAGGTCACTCTTCCCACAGACAACAGTGGATTAAGGGGAAGCAGTGCTGCCCTTGCACAGATCCCGTTTGGGATGTAAGGCATGGCAGAGGAAGGGGGAAGGAAGAAGATGAGAAAGAAGTAAGATGTAGGTCATCCAGTTCTCTGGCTCAGCATATTTTTAAGCCAGGCAGGCCAGATCTGGCACCGGGATTATTTTAGGAAATATGAGAAAAGGTTGCTCTGTAGATGTCTGGCTGGGGCCGACAGCTGTATCCTCCCTTCCCCAGAAAGCAGGACTTCACCCATGTGGACTCTTGCATTTGCTGGGCAAGGCCGGAACGCCATCGCCACAGCCTTCACTTACCGCAGGAGGTGGGGGCAGTGGCAGGGATTCAGGCACAGCTGTCCCCTGCTCAGGGAAGATGCGCAGGCTGTGATCCGGTGCTGTTGGGGACGGGTACTCCGAAGGGGTGCTGTGCAGGTGGTACTGTGGAGGCAGGCGGGCCTGAGGTGGCGGTGGAGGGTACTGGGCTGGGAACGTCTGTGTCATGGCATCTGCTGGCGGCACAGTGGCATCAGCGCTACCCTGCAGGGAGCAAAGGCAAAAGACAGTGACGCTAGTGAGCAAAAGAGGGCAAATGAAGTGGTTTTCTAAAAGGAAAACAGGGATTGTTTTCTAGGAACAGAGCCAGGCACTTATCGTCATTTCTGGCACCAGTGAACACCAACTCTGGTCTCAGAGATCCATAGACTCTGTCCCCTGGACAGACACAGAAACAGACGCCCCCCCCCCCATTTTCCAGATTTTGAAATATTTTGTCCCAAATGCAGCCACCAAGAGTAGTACTAGCATTTCCCCACTGTGCTCAAAGTGCCCTGTGAATGTTTATCTTGGTAAACCTTACAACAGCCTTCCCCAACTTGGTGACCTTCTGGATGTGTGCTAAATTGCAGCTCTCATCATCCCCAGACAGTGCAAGAAAATGAATGAGGTTTAGGAAAGTAGCAGTCAAGAAATATCGGGGGGGGGGGGGAGCTGTCCGTGGAAAGGCTGCCTTACAACATCCCTGCAAGGTGTGTGAGCATTACCTTTCTACAGGTCTGAAGCAGAGTGCGTGTGAGAGAGAGCACGAAAGTGTACGTGCATGCACAAGCACCTATAGAAGTGGGGGAGGCATTTATTTACAGCTCAGATGTGAGGGTTAGATGCGGGGAGGGAGATTTCCCAGATCACCCCACTCACAACAAGCCCAAGTCGGCAGCATCCTGCCCCTAACAACAGGAGGCGGGGGGAGCAGCCCCCCAACCTCCACGCCAGGTTCGCCCACCCCCTTTCTCCTTAAGGACCCTGCCCAGAGCCCTGTCCGACAACTGCTCTTGCATCACAAGCTCCGTCCAGATTCCGCAGGACCCACCCGCCCGATCGCACCCGCCCGGAGAGAAAAGCGAAGGATCAACACGAGCAAAACGTCCCGGGGAGCCCCCGGGGGAGCTTACCCACCTACACCAACAGGCCCCATCCCCCGCCACTTCTCAGAATCGCTACCAGGCGGGGACTCTCGGAGGGGGCGAAAGATGCGCCCCTGCTCTCTCCGCCCGCGGCCCCGGACTATAAAGGCATCCCTTGTGCGTTCCCTTCAGCCAATGAGGAGAGCGCGCAGCAGACGCGGGCGCTCCGATAGGCCATCCTCTTATCGGCCTCGCCCCACCTCTGCCCTTAAGCGGAGCCGGTCCGCGCGGCTTTCAGCTGTTTGCGGGGCTTTTCGAAAATCGAAGGGTGGTCAAAGAGGCGGACAGCTGCAGATTTGCCTGGAATTTGCATCTGACCGGACGGGCCGAGCCCCGAGCCCCGTGCACCTGCCCCACATGTCCCGTGGCAGAGGCGGGGATTAATCGGAGCCAAGAGGGCTTAGTCCCAGGAGCAGCAGGGCAGAGAATGCCGCAGTAGGGCAGTTTCCCGAGGACGGGCCCTAAAGGGCCACTAGAACGCTGCCCCGGGACTCAGGAGACACAGGTTCCAGTCCCCACTTGGCCAGGAGGTTCACTGGGTAACTCTGGGACAAGCACCGGGTTGTTGTGAGGATAACCTGGAGAGCAGAAGGAAGGCCCTGTAATCTGCCTGGGTTCTCTGCAAGAGGGAAATAGGGTGAGCTAAACCTGTAGTGTCATAATAAAATAATAAAGAAAAAGAATCTGTAAAAACAAGCTCTACCTGGCTGAATAGGTAGGCTCTCTCAGTCCTGCAGCCTGCCAAAGGTTTTCTATCAGCCCCAACAAACAGGGTCAGTGCTCAGAAATGCTGGCAGCTGTAGTCCAAACTGAACTGAAGGTTTAGCTGATGAATAGGATTGAACGTTAACTGCTTGTTTATATTCATTACAGTTTGATCACGCCTTTTCTCCAAGAAATTCAGAGGTGGAACAGTTATTCTCCCCATCTCCAGTTTATTGTCACAACAGTCCTGTAAAGTAGGACAGTGCAAGTAGTATATAGCCACTTGTGCATCACCAGAGGAGGAGGAAATACTTTGCACACACACACACACAGAGGCCATGGTTTTGTATGTATAGATGCGGATTCATAAATGAAAACTGTGATATAAATAGAAATACAATGCATCTCACCATAGTGGGGAAGATGGGTGACCAGAGGGCCCACATATTTTTTCAATGAGCTTTCTTAGTTCTAGTTGTTGATGGACACTTCAAGGACCCTACTGATAGTTCTTCAGGTTTGGACCAAATAGCTTCTTCAATAGAGGCCACTTTCAAACAGAGGACTGTTTTCAGTAAAGCAGGCCACATGGCCACTGTATTTGGTTTTTTAAAAGTTAATTCACCCACAAAATTGTTGATGGACAGCTCTGTTTTTAATGATGGCTCTCTGGCGTCCTCATTCAGCACATCAAAGGTTTCTGGAACTCACAACAAGGTTTCTGCACACAAGTTTGCACTAATGTACAGGACTATGCTGCGAATTGCAGGCTATGTGTGCCAAGTAGATTTTACATGTCTTTTATGGAGACTAACATTTGGGGAGGACTAAGGAGCAAAAATGCCTCTGGCAGATTGGACTTGATCTTCCAGAGCCCTCTTCACATATATTTTGTTTGCTACAGCTTGGAACAGATGGTACGGGAAGCTCTAGCAAATACATGTCAGTCACTGTTCTGCAGGCATGTGTTGGAAGGATGTGGAGGTTGCCGAGGCCAAATTTTCCTTGCTGAACCAAGGGGTAAGCTTGTGTCTTGGCTGCACTACTTTAGATAGTAGCTGTAGGTTCACATGAATGAATGTAAAAAGCATGACTCCGTGCTAAAAAAACCAACCAAACAAAAACAAAACTTGCCCTTTCACACACAAAACTTGTAGAGGGAAGGATTTTACTCTAGCCTTCTCCCTGATATGCTAGTTTTCTATGTGCAAAGTCCATGGCTTAACAAAAAGAGAGTTATGTGCAAATGCTCCAACAAAGGAGCATTTCCCCACTGTAAACCTTCACCTGCAGTTGGAGGACAAACGACACCAGAGGACCCCAGCCCTCTTGGGTCACTGGGCATATCTGGAAGGTCCAGTGTGTCATGGGTGCTGTCACAAAAGGGCTGTCATGGGGGGGCTTGTCCATTCATAAAACCACTGACATGCTGAGCACTTATCTGAACTTTTGGCCACTCACAAACCACTCATTTTCCGGGAGGCAAACTGCTGAGACTGAAGAAAAGGCTCTCCCAAGAACTGAAGCACAAAGCAGAGCACCAGACTTTTGGGTAGAAATAAAGATGGTGCTAGAGGGCAGCCATTTCTTTTGTAGCAGACCAGCCTCCCAGTTAAAAAATACTGTAAACATTCTTAAAATATAACACGAAAATCAGAAGGAGCAAGGAGTCTAGCAGGTACCAAGTGAGGTATCTTTCAGCACTGCATTGGAGATCCCAGAATTACAAGCCACATAACTGATCTGTGGCTGGATCACCCAATGCTCTCTCTTTATCTTACCAAAATGCCTTTATGTTACCAAAATGCAGCCACAGCAGAGAGCTGAGAATTTTCTTGTGGCAGAGTTATTTTAAGCTTCTTCTCTTGCCCTTTTCCTGATGAAAATTGCCCTCCTCTGGCTGACGGAGAAAAAATAAACCAAAACAAATACAGGGAGGTACACTTTGGATGTATACTTTGTATCTTTGTAGTCAAAGCATATGTTTACCATCTACGTAGCATGCCAACTTATGCATTGCTAGAAAAGAACTGCATCACTGAAAAAAAGAACAAATGAAAATTAAAGGTACCAAGCAATAATGCTTATAAATCTATTATAGTTCACCATTGTGGGGAAGGCTGAGAGTGATCTGTGTGCCTTACTGTTTAGTCTGCTGTCCAGGAACTAAGTGTGAGTGGACAACTTCAAGGCTCCTGGCAGCTCTCCCAGCTTATGATTATTTATCATTAGCCAGACTTGGCCAGGTCAGACTTTCCCATAGTGGAAGACTTTGTGCATTGGCTGCTAACCCTTCGGAGAGAAAACATGGCTGCTGTATAACCCCCTTATAGTGCACTGGGCCCTATTCTCTTACAGGTTGCCCCCACTCCAGAAGAAGAGGACACACAGCTTCTGCTTATGTTTACATGGCTAGTTTTCACAATAAAGGAAATGGCCTCAGTGCTTCATTTGAACTCAAGCTGGGCAATGTCAGGACCTACAATTCTTCCAGAAACTGCTGGTGTCCTTGGAACCACAGCCTTGCAAACTGCTTTGATGAATAGCTGCTTTCCTTGCATCTGGAGATGGAAAAAGAGCTTCCTGTTGTTACAAAGATAACACAAACAGGCAGCTGAAAATTTGGGATGTTCTGATGCACTTCTCAGGGATGTTTTATGGACACCAGTGAAGCAGCCCATCAACTGAGTGAGAGGTGCCTGCAGTGGCACTAGCTGGAATGTCGTGCAAGGTTTCATGGCCACACCAGCTCCAGATTTGGGGTGGCCCTTGCTAAAGACACCTCCATGGGCTCCTCCTTTGGTGAATCTAGCTTCTCACTGCTCTGGCCATCACCTGCTATTGATCCTCCTCCTCAGCTTCACTGCCTCTTCGCTGCTGGACAGGCAGAGAGCCACCAGGAAGAAGTCAGTGGCGTTCGCTGTCCCCCTTTTTGCCACTACCTTTGTCTGGGCAACAGTGACAGGCAGGCGAACAAACTGGAGGAGGGTGGAGAGGAGATGCTCCAAGAGGCCCTTGGCAGCTGCCCAGCTGTGCTTACCTGTACCGCCTGCTCTGCATCCTGGGATACGCACCTCTCAGGGTCAAACTAGACATGGCAACAATCACTTCACCAGCCCTTGGGCGCTTGTTTGCCTATACTAAATAGCAGCCATGGGGGGAGGATCAGAGCTGGAAGTGGGGCCACAGGGGTGGGGCTTTACATTTTGCACCAGCCCAGTCCTGACCTGAATAGGAGGGAGCATTGCCACTGTTGGTGCCAACTGAAGCTTCCTTCTGATGGCTTATAGCAGCTGAGGGCAACTATTTTACACAGCAGTGGGGCAAGAGTTAAATTGCTCTCCCCCCTGCATTATAGTTCTGATCCAGATC